CATCGGCGGTGCTGGCGGTGCCCGGTACCGGTGGTGGTGGTGCTGGAGGGGGGGGGGGGTCGCACACTGCGGCCCGGTGCCGGGGTTGCATCAGGTGGGTGGGAATGCGGGGATTTTCCTGCCGCGCACCCCACCCCTTATGCAAATGGCCGGGATGGCTCCAGGGGCGGATGGATGCGAGGCGGCCCCGGGCGGGCCCAAGCGGGTGTCCACGGGCGGCGGGGCGGGGAAGGAGCCGCAAAGCCGCGGTGGGGACCCCCGGGAGGCGAACGGGGCACGGGGAGAGGGGGGTGGAGCCGGGGTTGAAGGGCTGGCGGTGGTTGTCTTGCAGGACATCGATTTGATTGACATCCTGTGGAGACAGGACATCGATCTGGGCGCCGGGAGAGAGGTGTTCGACTACAGCCACCGGCAGAAGGAGAGCGAAGTGGACAAAGAGCTGAGCGATGGGGACGGCTGGAGGAGAGAGCTCCTGGCCAGGAACCTCTTAGTTGATGGGGAGACCGGGGAGAGGTTCCCTGCGCAGGTAACGCCCCGCAGCCGGGTCCCTGGGGCCACCGGAGGGTGGTGGTGGTGGGGGGGCTCTGCTTTCCAATGGGAAGGGTGGACGGAGCTGCAGGAGCAGGGCAGGGGGGGGAAAGGAGCGGGTCGTGGGCCGCAGGGAGGGTGAGGGCGCCGGGTCCTTGTGGCCGAGCCGAGTCCTTGCGCTGGCAGGAGGGGAGCAGCGATTCCCTGCTCCGCTCTGACGCTCTCCAGAGCAGGAGGATGGAGCCACTGGGTGGGGCCTCTGGCTCTTTTTGGATGCGCTGGAATAAAGCCCTGCTGGAAGGAGCTCCTTGCTCATCGTCACCATCCCCATCACCTCCCTCATCCCGGGGCTGCCACTGTGTTACCCGCAGGTGCCCGGTGCGGAGGATCAGACAGCGCTGTCCCTGGAGGAGTGCCTTAGGCTGCTGGAGGCCACCTTCCCGTTCGGGGACAATTCGGAGGTGAGTGGATGCGGTGATGTCCTCGGCTCCTCCTGGATCCCTTAATGCAGACCGCAGAAGCAGCAGTCAGTGGGGTTTGCCTGCTTAGGGGAGGCTCGAGGCAGGTCACAGTTAAGCATTTCTGTCCTTGCTTCTCATCGGTTCAGAGAGGGACAACTGCACCCAGTTTGCTCTGAACAAAGGGGAACTGATTGCCCACATGGAGGGGTGAAGGGGGGTTCAGGATCGCTGCCTTCCCTCCCCATCCATGGCCTCACTCTTGCCTCCTGGGCTTCAGTTTCCAGCTGCGGATGTGTCCACCCTGAGCGAAGCCGTGCCCGGCGAGAGCCGGCCCGCGGGCGGCCAGCCCGGCCTGCTCCCCCCCCTGCTCCCCGAGGCCGAGTCGCCCTTCGACCTGGAGCAGCAGTGGCAGGACCTCATGTCCATCATGGAGATGCAGGTGAGCTCATGGGGCGGGCGCTCGGTGCTGCACCATCGGGCTGTGGCGCTTTGGGTCGTGCCTCGACCTGCGCGGTGACATTGCGTGCGTGGTGCTGGATTCACCTTCCCGCAGCCAGGCCCGCAGGATTGGGCTCGTTTGGCAGATCCAGAAGCATCGCCCTGCCTTTGGTGCAGCGCAGGAGCGCGGCGCCTTCACCGGCCCCGTCCCGTGTGTCTCTTGCAGGCTATGGAAGTGAACACCACGACCGCCGAGCCCCTGTACAACGGCACGAGCGGGGACCTGCTGGCCTCCAACTACAGCCTCGCCCCCAACACTCCCATCAACCAGAACGTCAGCCTGCATCAGGCCTCCCTGGGTAGCTGCTCGCAGGACTTCTCCCTCTTCAGCTCCGAGATCGAAAGCCCCTCCATGGCCGGCGGCTCGGCCCTGCTCCAGCTGGCGCCGGACAACTCCACCGGCCTCAACACCACCTTCGGCTCCACCAACCTGAGCGGCATCTTCTTCCCCCCGCAGCTCAACGGCACCGGCAATGAGACAGCGGCCCCCGAGCTGCCCGACCCGCTGGGGGGGCTCCTGGATGAAGCCATGCTGGACGAGATCAGCCTGATGGACTTGGCCATCGAGGAGGGCTTCAACCCGGTGCAGGCTTCGCAGCTGGAAGAGGAGTTTGACTCCGACTCAGGTCTTTCTCTGGATTCTGGCCACAGTCCTGCTTCTCTGAGCAGCTCCGAAGCCTCCTCCTCCTCCTCCTCCTCTTCTTCCTCCTCATCCTCTTCCTCCTCCTCCTCGTTTTCCGAGGAAGGAGCCGTCGGCTACAGCTCCGACTCTGAAAACGTGGACTTTGAAGAAGCGGAAGGGGCGGTTGGATACCAGCCAGAGTACAGCAAGTTCTGCCGCATGAGCTACCAGGACCCATCGCAGCTCCACTACCTGCCTTACCTGGAGCATGTTGGCCACAACCACACCTACAACATGGCCCCGGGGGCCCTGGATCCCGAGGAGCCCAAACTGCCCAGCACCGGGAAGAAGAGCAGCAAGGAGAAACCGTCCGAGTTCCTGGACAAGCAGATGAGCAGGGACGAGCATCGCGCCCGCGCCATGAAGATCCCTTTCACCAACGACAAGATCATCAACCTGCCCGTGGAGGAGTTCAACGAGCTCCTCTCCAAGTACCAACTCAGCGAGGCTCAGCTCAGCCTCATCCGCGACATCAGGAGGCGAGGCAAGAACAAGATGGCTGCGCAGAACTGCCGCAAGAGGAAGCTGGACACCATCCTCAACTTGGAACGGGACGTGGAGGACTTGCAACGGGACAAGTCCAAACTGCTCAGGGAGAAAGTGGAATTCCTTAAATCCATCCGCCAGATGAAGCAGAAGGTGCAGAACCTGTACCAGGAGGTCTTCGGCCGCCTGCGGGATGAGAACGGGCAGCCCTACTCGCCCAGCCAGTACGCGCTGCAGTACGGCACCGACGGCAGCGTGCTCCTCATCCCGCGCGCCGCCGCCGAGCAGCCGGTGCGGCGCCAGGACCGCAAACAGAAGGACCGGAGGAAGTGACGGGATGGGCGCCGCGGGAGGAGCGGGACACTCGTTCAACTGGGAGAACTGGAGAAGGGCTGAGCCTGGAAGTACTTAGAGGAACTTTCAATGCCTTCTTATCCGATCCTATCTTCTCAAAACCACGACCCACACCAACCCAACCCACACGAGCAAAGGGGACTGCTGCCGGCGGGAGACACTGCGGGACCTGCGGGCGGAGCGCTGGGGGCTGCCCGCCGCCGGAATTCCACAGCTTTGGAATCCTTTGAGCGCAGGACACGAGCTGGCAGCACTGGCGGTGGGCTTGGCAGAGGCGGATAAACAAACTACTGTTAGGAACTGGCTTTAAATAAGAGAAACAAAAAAGAGATTTAAGCAAATGAACTTAAACCAAGTGATAGGAGAGACATTTTCTGAACTTCCAAAGTTCTGTGATTTCAGGTAGTTGGTTTATTATTATTTTTCCTTTTCCCTATTTTATTTTCCCGTTTTTTGTTTGTTTTTTTTTTTTTCTGGTTTTGGTTCTTTTTGTTTTGTTTTCCTTTCCCTCGCCCCGTTTTTGCCATCGGTGTGTGTGATCGATCCGACTGAATTCCAGATTTACCCAGCATCCCTTCCTAGAGCAGACCGGTGCACACATGGCAACACGCGTGCTGTGACTTCCAATTAACCCTTGCCAGGCTTGAGGAAGCTCACAGGGAGAACCGGGTACGTGTGGAGGAGCTGTGGAGGGCTTTCGGGAAGGGGGGCACTGGAGAGGGGTAACAGAACCGCTGTGCTCCGGGTCCCCCCCCATCACCACACTCAGAGCATGTCACTGCCGCCGCGCCAGCGCCGCGCTGGGCCGGCACACGCAGCAGCCTGCATGCAAACGCTGTCGTCTCCCATGCGAGGGCCGGGAGCTGGGCGAGTGCACAGCACAAGGGGAGCAGAGGGTTTAACCCCTTCCCTGTCCCCCACCAAGCCGTGGGCTCGTCACTCATAGAGCTTATAGACAGCCGTTAGGATTCCTGTTCCGTAACCGCGCTTTGATTTCTTGGGGCTTCAGCCCTGGTTTTCCCTATAGGGTCTTGAGTGCTTGTGTTGAGTAAAAGAAACATAACAAAGGGAGAAGCCCAACCGTTCAAAGCTGCTCAATGTTCTCTTTGCCATACCGAAAGATTCCGTGTAACCGTGTGATCACATTATAGGATTCTCTTCTGTCCCTAGGTGTTGGTCTGACTTCCTTTGTTTTCAGGAGGGGGGTGGGGGTAGTGCCTTGATCACTGTCCGTCTCCGCCACGGAGGCGATCCTATGAAGCTGTATTTGCAGTATAGCACAGCTGGGAGCCGGCCGACTTTACCAGCAACCGACAGAAACAAAGCTTCCAAACCCAACAGCAAGGCTTTGCCAAGCCAGTCCTGTGCGTGCGGGTCGGGCTGAGGGAGGACTCGGGCTGGGAACGCAAGGGAAGGAACCCTGGTGCAGGCAGGAGAGAGGCCATGGGGAAGGTGGTTGGATCTCGGGGGTAGGGGGGGTTGTGGGGATCCGCTCGCTGCAGCCCCAGGAGCGCTCCTTGAGATTCAGTGGCTGGACTTGGGCATGAGCTGAAGCACAAGAGGTGGAGCTGTGGGTGCGGGGAGGTTGGAAGGGGGCCCTGCGCGGATGTTTTAAGTTATTTTTCCTCTTAGAAACTCTTCTTTTGAGTGCTCTGTGACCTGTCAGGGAACGAGGAGAGATTGTTGTGAGCACAGGACGAAAATAAACCGGCTTATTCACTGTACAAGCGTGTTTGCTTCATGGTTTTCTTCTTCGTTGCTTCAAAGAGAAAGCAGACGGGGCCTCCTCCTGCGGGTCCTGCGCCTCCACGGTAGCTCCAGGGTGCTGCTGTCATCCCAGCCTGTCGGTACCAGGTTGGAGGGGAGGAGAAGGTTCCTCTGCTCTTCCTTCCTTCCCAACAGCATTTTCCCAAAGCAGCCCTTGGAGAAGTATGGTCCTGGTTGAACCCGCAGTGCATGGAGCCCGTTGTGGGTCCTGGAGCTGAAGCCAGCAAAGCCGCTGCTGCTCAAAGGCGTGTGGGGCTTGATGCTGGGCCCTGCAGGTCAGAGCTGCCTTGGTGCAGCCTCATCCTCCCCCTTGAGCCAAGCACTGGGTCCTGTTGGGCGTTCAAACACCACCAACGCAGCTCCAACCTCTCTGTTGCAGCTCCATCCAGTGCACACCACAGCGCTGGTTCCAGAGCCAGGGGCTGTTCCATCACCAGTGTATTTATATGGGGCTCTGCAGGTTGGCTCCTGCCCCATCCCTGTGCCGAGGGATGCGGGTTTGGAGCACCTCATCCTGCAGCAGAGCCATCGGAGGGGCACTGCCAGGCTGGTGCTGGTGGGAAGCTCTGGCTGTGTGCCCAGGGCTGCCTCCAGCCCTTGGTCCCAGCCCCATTCCCTTGGCAGAGCTGGGTTCGCCTCCAGCCGGGCTCAAGGGCAGGCCCAGACTCTGCAGCACCAGAGGAAGGGGTCAGGCTGCTCTGAAGCCACGCTGCTGCCAACAGCCTCCCCCTGGGGCCAGGCAGGAGCCCAGGCCCTGCAGATGGACACCGAGCACAGCTTGGATGAACCAACTGGGGCTGGAAAACTGCTCCTGGGAAGAGCTGCAGCACCAGCGAGACCTTGGGCTGGTGCTGAATCACTGCAGTGCCAGGCAGCAGCCTCTGCACCCCACCAGCACTGGATATGCTTTGGTTAGAGATGCCTTGCTCTAAGGCTTTCATACCCACCACCTTCCTGCATGGCTGGCGTAGGTGCTGTGGGGTTTTCCATCTCGTGGCATGATGATGGAGCAGGTCCTGAGCATTCACTAGAGCCTGGCAATAAAAGCTGGGGTGTCTGGGTGAGACACAGCACCAAAGCTTTGTGACCACCAGCACCAGGCACCTCCCCAGGCCAGGCACAGCCAGAACAGGAAGCAGAAGCTCCCCAATTGCCTTCCACCAGGGTTCCAGTGGGGAAAATGTCCTTTTCCTGAGGATTAAACCTTTCCTCATGGGACTGGAAGAGTCCATCCATGCCTGCTGTCGGTGCTGAGGCCAGCCCAGCTCCACACATGGCAACAGCTCAGGCAAGGGGAACACGAAGCATCAAAATCCACCCTCTGCGGTGCTTCCTGCCTCTCCTCCTGGGCTTGGGGGTTCTTATTGCAGACACTCCTCCAGGGCTGCTTTAGAATGATGGCAGAAAGGTGACAACGTGAGGAGGTCACAGCCCCAGCGCTGTCACTGCTGCCAACCCAGCACCAAGTGCAAGCAGGAAGCACTTATCCACCATCAGGGCCCTTTGAACCAGGTCCTGCTGCTGCCTGAGCCCTCAGCACCTGCTGGGGATGGAGGAGCTTCCTCTGCCCCACTTCGGGCTCAGCCCGGAGCACTCCGCACGCCACAATGGTCAGGAGACAATCATCCAGTGCCCGTTGCTCAGGAGGTGATGCATCCTGCTCCCATGGTGCCACACATCCGTATCCCGGGATCTGGAGCCTGCCTGCAGCTCACGTGAGCCCCCCCACACTCAGTATGACCACAAGCCCACCCTGGGGGCTGCAGCAATGAGCATCCTCCAGCTACCTGCTGCGATCGATGGCCCCGCGCCTCCCCGGGGAGCTGCAGCCTTCCCTGCCTCAATTAAGTGGCCGTTCCCCTTCTCCATGCAGTGATTAATGCAGGTTTAATTGCTGCCTCTGCTGGGGCAGGGCAGAGATTTCATTGTCCCACTGGGCACAGGCTGAGCTGCTGCAAATGACCTGGAGTTCAAGGGGCTGCATGGTTCTGCAGCCCTGAGGGGTCGATGAGGGGCTGGCGGAGCCCCTGCTCAGCTCTGACCACCACCAAAGCCTCCCTGCTCCATCCTGCTCCCTGGGAATGCCAGAAACCGGGATCCTGCCCTCAGGGATGCTTTGGCCCACTCTGCTCTCTGTACAACTGCACACGAGGAGAAGCCTCCTCTCCTCCACACACAGGAGCTTACAGCCGTCAACAAGTCCACACCAGCAACAAAAGGGGAGACCACCTTCACCCGAGCAGCCACCAGCAGCACTGCCGGAGCTTTCGAAACCCATCCCTAAGCACGAAGTTGGGCTGAGAATGGAAGTGAAGGTCACTTACCCCACCTCTGCTGCCGGGTCCTGGCTAAGGAACACGCGCGTCAAAGGAGATCCCGACTCATCCTCTTGTCTCCATGGGTGAGACCGGGCTCTATCCACTAACCTCTAGGACACTTCTCTTCTCCAGATGGAAGCCAACACAAACCAGAACCTGGGATCAGCTGCTCCGAGGCTCCGGCTGCAATCGGGAGCCAGCGGCTGCCCTGGGCTGCACCAGTGCTCCCCCTGCTCGGCAGGAGCCGCAGCCGCATCCCTGCGCGCCCGCTCTACACCTCCTCACTCATCGCATGCACAAAGAGCTGGTAGAGAAGAGAAAAATCGGGATTATAAATCTAAAATTTTATTGAGACAAAAAAATAAACAACAAAAAAAAAACACCCCAAAAAAACAACAACAAAAAAAAACCAAACCACAACCAAACCCCAACCCGACAGAGCTTGGGATGAGCTTCAACTCCAAACACGGACTTTACAGTTCAACAACGGCTTCACGAAACCTAAACACATGCTCTTAGAAAAGGTTTGTACAAGGCAAGTCCAGATACATACCCACCCCCCAGCCCGCCCCCCCCGGAGGTGCCGGGAGCCTGGTGGGGCTCAGGACTCCGGCCATTAAATAGATGAGGATTCGTAATCAATCTGATTGCCAAAAAACAGGACAAAACAAGAAACAAACCCAAGGACTGGGGAAGATTTGGGGTCACGCATCCAGCTCCAGCAGCACCAAGGTGAGGCTTCCTCCCAGCATCATGGGAGAAGACAGCATCATCAGAGTGCTTTGGGTTGGAAAGGACCGTAAGATCATCTAGTTCCAACCCCCTGCCACGGGCAGGGATACAATGGAATTGGGTTGTTTGCTTGTGCTGCTGTTGATTCCCTCTCCCTCCCACAACGGGAAGGTTCCCAATGCTGCAGGCTGGCTATTGTCAACTGAAGGAACAAGTAGAAGGCTCCCCCCTCATCCCTCCCCCTGTTCTGAGAAATAGCACCTTGTAATGGAAAGATGGTTAGAAAGGCTTTTTGAAGGGTTAAAATCCCCCCCCCCCAATGCATGTGGCAGTGGCAGTTCTGCTGCAGGACAATACGAATGAATCACAAGTTTGCATTTTCACAAGTCCCCGTCCCCCTGTCCCCCCATTCCCTTTATCCCTCCCTCTCCACATCGCTTGCAGGGTGTGGGGGGGTGAGGATCCTGGCTCCAGAGAGCTGGACATTCACAGTGTCCCTGCCTCCCTCACTCTGCCCCCAGCGCTGGGCTCTTCCTCCCCACCCCACCAGCCCTGCCTTTATTCTGCTTCTCTGTTCTGAATTCATGTTCTACAAAAGAGCTGGAAACGATCTGGAACGTTGTCACCAGACCTCGCCCCCCTCCCTCCCCAGTTAAACAAGAGACCAGTTTCCCCAAATCCCCCCCCCCCCCTTTGAACCAATACACCAGTAAAATAGCAAAAGAAACAAGAGAAGAAAGGAAACAAAACAAAAACCTACACACATGCTACGCCGTAAAAATGCAGAGTTAACACTATTGGGAAGAAGGCTGTGGGTTGCTGAGATGGTCTTTGAAGAATAAGCAGTATCCATCTGCACTCCCTTTCCCCAGCCCACCCATCACCAGGGATAGTCCTTCATGGAAGGGGCTTTGCTTCCTCTCCCCCAAGCTGCGAAATAGGCAGCTTTGAAACAAGCACCCCACTTCCTCCCCTCATTCCCACCCCAGCATCCCCCTGCCCTTCCTTTCCAAATCCCCCCCCCCCCCCCCCCCCATTGAGTCGGGCTGCTTGGAATCTGTACACAGCATGAAGCTGCAGAAAGCAGTTGAGCAGCTGCAGGGCACAGAAACCATACTGGTCTCTTCAAAGGGCATCTTCTCCAGCCATCTCTACGCTCCCAACCGAGCAGAGCTGCGTTCTCTCCCTCTTGCTCAAACCCACAGTTCAGATCTTTATACAAAGGTTGGCCAGAGCGGGTGCCAGGGCTTAGTTCTTGTCCTCTTTCTTGTCATCGTCCTCTGAGGGGTAGGAATGCCATGTCAACCTCTCCTCATAGAACGAGATGACCACCTGCGGGCACTTGATGTTGGCTTCCTTGGCAGGGACCAGGTCGGCCTCGTCAGAGTTCTTCCTACAGGCCAGAGCAGAGGTGCAAGTTAGGGGGCTGCGGAGGGGGAGGCGGAAGAAACGGAGACCGGAGAGGACTCAAGAAGCAGCAGGAAAACGGGAGTCCCCGAGGTGCTCGGGGCATCCAAGTGCCCCCTTCCTGAGTGGCTCCAGAGCAGGGAGAAGCAGCACGGGAGCCCAGGGGAAACCGAGGTGTGAGTTGAGCGCTGCGTTGTCGGGGATGGGGAAGGAGAAGGCGAGTGAAAGCTGCGGCCCTGCCCCCTGCCACTCCGGACTTCCAACACGGTGCAAAAGCCATGGGCTCCCGCAGCTCCGCCTGCCTGGGTTGGCTCCCACCTGCACCAGCGACAAGCCCTGTGTCACTACAGCCGGAGGGGACACGCTCGCTGTCACGGCTCTCCTCTCCCAGGCCATGACACCGTGCCCCTCTTTCTCCCCCAAGCTCGCGCCTGCTGCAGGGGGGGGACATCTCAAAGAGCCACACGACCCCCAAGGGCCCTACCTGCTCGTTTCACATCCACGTTAGCCTCAGCGCAGAGGGTCACCTCAGGCAGCAGCGCCATCGCCAGAGATTTCATGCCAGGTAGCAGGGCCTCCCCAGGCGCAGGTCCTTCCCTCTCTGGCACAGAATAAGTGAAGAAGTGACAGACACAAAGACACACTCACCACTTCATCAGGAACATGAGCTCCCCGCTGGAATCCGTGGCACCGATGATCCGCTCGGGCTCGAATCCTCGGGCAAAGCCTCGCGGTTTCTCCGACTGCAAAGAGACGAGATGCCACTTGCAGCATCCCCCAGGGACAGCCACAGCCCTGCCTCTGCTCACCAGGGGACACCAGTGGCTGCTCGGAAAGGCTGGGTCAGATGCGCACACCAGAATCATGGAATCCCAGACCTGAAAGCTCCTCCAGCTCCAACCCCTTCCAATGGAGCAGCTTGCTCCAAGCCCCTGTGTCCAACCTGGCCTTGAACACTGCCAGGGATGGGGCAGCCACAGCTTCTCTGGGCACCCTGTGCCAGCGCCTCAGCACCCTCACAGGGAAGAGCTTCTGCCTAAGAGCTCAGCTCAATGACTAATAATGACTAATAATGGCTAATAATGACTAAGGCCAGCAGGCAACTGAGAAAATCACTCAGGAGTAAACCTGCTGCAGAGTGGATGCCCTGCTGGGTCCAGGGGGAAGCGTCCTGCTGAAGCTAAAGCAGAGGACCTAAAGCTGGTCAAACTCTTGTGCTGGCCAAGACCCAGCAGCTCCTGGGATGAACCCAGCCTGCAGAGCCTTTTACCACCCCTATTCCCGAGCAGCTATGAGCACCTGAAGCAGGAGGTTCTCTGCTCCATCCTGTTCTCCCTCTTCAAGGGAAAACAGGCAACCCCTACCTCCTGTTTCCCGCCTTGTGCTGCTCTTCAGGAGAACCTGGTGCTCTAAACCCATCTGGTTGGGTTTAGTGCTAGGACTGGTTCTGAGGTCACTAAGAACAGCTGGAGCGAGGTTTTGGGAGCGTGGCTGCTCCAGCTCCCAGACACCATTGCCAAGTGTCTGGGTAGGGAGGTGAGCACAGGAAAAGCCCACCCAGCCTCACCTCCTCCTTCTTCTTCTTTGGTTTGCTCTCCTCCCCTTTATCCTCTGTGTCAGACTCCGCTTTGCGCTTGCTCCCCTCGGACTTCTCGCTCTCATGTGCGGTTTTCTGGGACTGAAGGAACTCTGCAATGAGGTCTGGGCAGTCGAGGTTCTCCTCTGGCTCCCATGTGTTATCTTCACTGCAATCCAAGACAACAGCTTAGTTTTATGTCCTTGCTTGCTGCAGCTTTCCCTGCCAAGGGGCATCCGGTCACCCAGTGGAGATGCTGAGAAGCAGCAGTGGGGATGCGGGTGTCCTGGCCCTGGGAAGCAGGAGCCTGCCCTGACCCAGACAGGGATGCCAGAGGCTTGGGCAGTTATTTCCCTTCTCAGGAGAGAAATGCCACTCATTTTCCCGGGTGCCTGTTTCACACTAGGTTTAAGGGGAGAAGCCCCACCAGGGCACGTTTTTGAGACAGAAGCAGGACTTTCTCACCCAGGCCGTGCTCTCAGCACCTTGATTAAAGCTCGAGGCATTCAGCACTGCTGCTTTCACCCTTAGGGCTGCCCTTGGCCTCTTAGCTCCACTTTCCAGCCAAGGAAAGGCAGAGGGACACTGAGCCTCCCACCCAGGAGGAGATGCTCGCACCGGAGCAGCCCAGACCCACCCCACAGCAGCAGCAGGGAGGCACTCACTCTGAGAAGCCCTTCCACTTGAGCAGGTATTCCACTTTGCCCTTCACCACTCGCCGATCCAGGACCTTCTCCACCACATACTCCTCCTCCTCTTCCTCTAAAACCTCTTCCACTTTCTTCTTGTTCTGTTTTTTTCCCATTGTGCTGGCCAGTTTTTCAGCTTACGGGCGACGCTGCTAAGGGAGGAGAGGGAACCAACGTGTTAGGGCCAAGGTCAGGTTTGCCTCTGCCAGGCAGCCAAAGTGTTGGGTACACAGAGACAAAGCACAGAGCAGGAACGCTGCTTTGGAGCAAACAGGTTCATCCAAAGCAGATAACAAAAAGGCAAAAGGGCAAAAAGGAGGCTCGAGCAGGAGTCTTTTTGATCTGAAGCCTTGGCCTTTTGGTCTCCCTGATTCCACCCATGTTCTGTCCCTGTTTTCAGCACACCATGGCTCGAACACACTGCTTTCATGTGTTGCCCATTGGCCTCCAGGAACAAAGCAGCACCCCACTGCTTCACACCCTGCCCTTCTCCTGCTGAGCCCCTCATGTCCCCCTCACCCTGTCCTCTCCTCTTCCTTCCCCTTGCTGACCTCCCCTTCAGCTTAGTTCTACCCTGCCTGCGATGGCAGAGAGCATCTGCAGAGCTGCGGGGCAGTGGGAGGGAGACAGCAGCACGCTGCTGATAGATACTAAACAGTTACTCCAAGTTCAAAACACGTCACAGCCATGATGCCGAGCTCCCTGCGTTCATTTCCTTGCTGCTCCATGCACGTGCACATGGGATATTCATCCAAGTCACCAACCCCAAGATACTCTTTTGCCTTTTTCCTTCTCTTTCCGGGCTGTTTAGGCAGTCAGATGGCTGCCAGCATGTCCAGTGCTGCTGGGCAGTGGCTGCAGCGATGCACGTAACGCGTGATGGGGCAGCCCTGGGTGCAGCTCCGCTCCCCACGCACACACTGGGGACTGCAGAGGAGCAGCAGCCCCTGCCAGAGCCTGGGCGCTTCCCCAGCCTGCAAGGAAGCACTTGAGAAAGCCAGAAACCACAGAGAGGCCCCGCTTCCCCGCTGAAACCCAGCTCGGAGCAGGGAGAGCCCCTGTGGGACAGCCCGTCCCTGCTGCTGCTGCTGGCAGCGCCCGCCTCGGCCCCGCCAGGAGCACCCCTGCTCCTTGCAAACGCTCCCCAGCCACTTCTTGCCTGCTCCCAGTTACACCAGAAGGTCCCAGCGCCGCTGCCAAGGCACCAGTGAGCATCTGGGAAGGGTTTTGTTTTCAGGCTGAAGACCCTGATCTCATCACCAGCCCCTGCTCCCGAGAACCAAGCACACTGGAGCTGCACTGACTGATACCAACCAAAGGGTCAGGAGGGTCCAGGTCTCCCCATCTGTTATCTCTGCTGTCACAGAGAGCCCCTGGTGAATGAAGCTTTCAACAGGACCCAGACCACCCAAACTCAGCCCTGCACCTCAGCCCCCCCCCGCCCCGATCCCACCCTGCTGCACTCAGGAACAGGACTCCTTTGAAATGCCAGGAAAATCCCTGTTTTCTGCCAAGCAAAGGGTCACACGTTCCCTGCCTGGGAACGTTCTTGTTTTGCCACTCGGGTTTAGCACGAACCTTCTAGAACAGAACTCATTCTAGTAAATATCCCTGTGAAATGACCTCAGCCCAGACCCGCAGCTCCACACTGGCTGAAGGAGATGCCAGGGTTCAGCAGCACCCCCAGCTCTCAAGGTGCAGCTGGATGAGCTCCCTGGGGCACAAGATGCTGCTGCTGGGGTATCAAAGGAGAAGGCTCAAACCAGGCCCAAAGGCTCCAAAGTTACCAGTTCAGAGCAGCAGAAGCCACAGCAGACAGGATGGGAGGGAGCACAGTGCACCCCAGAGCACCCCATCTCTGCTGCTACCCCACAGACAGGGCTTGAAGGCAGCTGAGGAGCATGAAAGAGTGCAGAGGGAGAAGCAGCACCTCCCAGCTCGGCAGGAGCTGGATTGATGCCTATGCTTGGACCACGCTTGCTGCCAGACAGACATCTTCCATCTTCCCCCTGCAGGGCCAGGCCACAGTGGGTGCTGGCATCAGGAGGTGCTTGGTGCTCACTGAGCCCAGGCTCTGCATCAGAAGCCTTTTCCTCCTTCTGCTCATGTTTAGCACTAGAGATCTCCCTTGCTTTGCTTTTACTGCTGGCCTCCAGGAGGAGGCTGAGATCCTGGCACCAACAGGATCCTTCCCCTCCTATGGAGAAGGGGCCAGGGCAGAGTGTGCTCCAGCTGAGGAGGTCCCCATGAAGATGCTGTTGCAAATAAACCCTGGCACAGCCCAGAGGGGTGGATCAGGCTCCCCCTCCCTCAGCAGCCACTTCTGTTCAGCTGCAGGCAAAGGGACTTAGATTAGATTAAAATGAGGCAGAAGCTGTTCTGTTTGAGGGTGCTGAGGCGCTGGCACAGCGTGCCCAGAGCAGCTGTGGCTGCCCCATCCCTGGCAGTGTTCAAGGCCAGGCTGGACACAGGCACCTGGAGCTGGATGGGCTTTCAGGTCCCTTCCAAGCCAAACCAGGCTGGGATTCTATGAAGACTTCAGTGGAAAGTGCTGTGGTTTCTGCTTGGAGATGGACTTGTTTTGAAGGCACCTCCGGATGCTCAGCTGGATCCCTGGGCCACTTGGGCAACTTCCCAAGAAGGCAACACAGGATCAAAGAGCTTAACGGTAGAGTCTGGCCCCGATGAGCTCAGAGGGGAGCTGCTGAAGCTCGAGGTGGTGTAGGACAGGTAGGCGTGGAAAGGGAAATAGAGGCAACAGAGCAATGCAATAGCCCAGATCCAGCATTTTATTGTGGCAAAAGATGCAAATCCAAGGCCAGGAGCGCTGTGAGAAAGAGCTTGCCAAGGGGAGGGACCAATACCCCAGTGCAAAGGGCTGCAGCAACCCAAGTGCAAGCATCTGGCAGGCAGCAACCTCTGCAAAGCCCCCAGACACTCACTCAGGGCCTGCTCCTTCCAGCAGGCACTGCCCTGGTTCTACTGGGGGCATTTACACCCCGGAGTACCAGCATCACCGCCATGCAGAGCCCTGCTCTGCCTCTGCAGCTCCTCATGCCTGCTCACAAACAGGACAACGTGTGGGTCTGCCTCTGGAGCCTGCAAACCAGAGGGGATAAGGGGATATCCATAGGGATAAAGGGATATCCATGGGGATAAGGCTGAGCTGTAGCTCACAGCGCTGCTGCTGCAAGCACAGAGCCAGCACGGAGGGAAGCTGCTGCACAGGCCTCTCGCTGCACTGCAGTCAAACACGCAGCTCAGTGCAAGAGAAAAAGGACTCGGCCCCCCTGGGAGCACAGACTCATGGCTTTAGCTGCAAAGCTGCTCCCCAGACTCTCCACATCAGGAATGCCGCTGTGGAACAGGGATTTCAGCCTCCTGTGCTCAGGAACATCCAAAGCCTCCAGTCTGAGGTGTTCAAAACAAAGCACCCAAAGCACTGGCTGGGTTCTGGTCCCTGGAGGAAGTGGGAGAGGTTTGGGGTGGGAGAGTTCCATCTCTTTGGAAAGGCAGCGTGGGGAAGACTCACCCCGTGCTCTGCTCCCTCGTCTCCAGAGCTTGCAAACGCACACATCTCACACCAGAGGTGCAGGATGAAGCTGATGCATTCTGCCTGGGCATTCTTAGGGAGGACAGACAACTCCTACGGTGTTGCCATGAGCAGACTCGTGTCTATGGGACTCAGGGCTGGGTGAGTCCTGCCTCAGAGAGATCTCATCAGTTGTACGTTGCCTAAAATCCAGCTTCAATCTTCTATACTTGATGTGTGAAATAAAGTTGGCTCATGCTGAAAAAATAGGATCTCAAGACAAATTCAGGATGGGCCTTTGCCAAAGCTTTCCATTTGCATTTCCTGCTTCTTCCCCAACACTCAAGGCAAAGCTGAAAGCCTTTGGGAAGAGGAAAGCAGAAAAGGGAGAGACTGAAAGGATAACTTCTTGGTGCAGCTAAAGGAAAAAGGGTCCAGGACAGACCTGAGCCACTGGAAAAGGATTGAGCCTCTGGTAAAAGGCCACGAAGAAAGAGGGGCTGAAGGCAGTGCTGCCACAGAAGCCTGTGCTAGCAGGGAAATGGGAGCAGTGTGGGTCAGATGCTGGTACCAAGAGAACAGCACCCAGCCCCGTGGGGAGGACACTGCCTTTGGAAATCAGGAAGCTCTCCCCACAGCCTCCTGGGATGCCTGGTGCTGGTCTCAGCGGTGGAAGAAGGTTCAGAAAGGCAAAGGAAGAGCAGGCTAAGAAGAAAGCTCCGAGGTTTCACTGAGCACAGACTCATTGGCTGCATCTTCAAGGACTAACAACGGCTCAGCTCCGCTTCCAGGAGCTTTAAACCTAAAACGCTTCCTCCTCCTGCCTCCCTCCTTGGCTGCGACCGCTCGTCTCTATAAAGACTCCTGAGCATGCCAAGCGCATCCCGCACACGCCAGGGAAAGGGATCTTTCTTTTGAAGTGGGAAGCAGCACTTTAAGGCTTCCACTCTCCAGAAGCTGGGAAGAGCAAGGAAACAGGCCTGGAAAGGTGATGGGAAAGCTCCAGCCTTTGAGCTGAGAGCAAAGCCACAAGCTTCCAGTTCAGCCCCATTATTCCCAGTTCAGTTCACAATCCAGCAGAGAAAACACCTCTGCATTTCCGAGGAGCACACATGCAGCAGGAGGGATGAAAATCAGAACCCGAGGGAAGAAATCCCGTCACACCACCAGGAATGATGTGACCGAGGCGGACACAAGCGCTGAACTCCTCTAGATCAGATAAACGCTCTGGGAATGAGAGCAGGGATTTCCATTCTTCTGCTCCCTTTTGTGGGGAAAGCACTGCCCCAAGTGCTGTGGAATTCCTGGTTTTCCAGTGCTCCTGACACCATGCTGTGTCCCTCTCACAAGCAACCCCAGGTCTCTACAGCGCCTTCCCCTCCAACCTTCATCCCTATGGACACTGGGGCTGCATCCAGGGGCATCTCCCCAGCGCTGCCCGCCTGCGCTCCCAGACCTGGGTGGTTTTGCCTCTCCCTGGCGCTGGGCAGGGCTTGGAGCAGCCACATCTTCATTCTCATCATTCCCACTACCAGGATCTCAAGCACTGATAGGAAACCAAGCCCGGGTCACCAACCAATGGAGCATCCCTTCATCCCGAGCATCCCCATCCCTGGCAGTGGTCAAGGCCAGGTTGGATAGGGTTTGGAGCAAGCTGCCCTAGTGGAAGGTGTGGAGGAACTGGATGAGCTTTCAGGTCCCTTCCAACACAAACCATTCCATGATTCTATCCCGTCACAAACACCTTCCCCTCTCAAATGCATGGGGATTTTGAACCCTGGAATTAGGCAGCCAGAAAACCCCTTCCCACTTCGATCCCTCAGTTCATAGGGACAATACACGCTTGCTGCTTCCAAACCCATCACCGAGCACTGCCCCATCGCTGAGACCTCCCCATTCAGCCCCCATGCCACCTCCTCCACACCAGCTCCACAGCCCCGAGCCCAACCCCACTGCTGCCCTCTCAGCAGCTCCAGGGACAGCTCCACATCCGCCACCTCCTTCTCCACACAGGTACGAATCCCACTTTGGCTCCACCACCTTCCCTTTCCACAAGCCCTAATTCTTCCCCCCAACCGCTTTATCCACTCCCATTCCAAGCATGGATTGAATCCCACAGCTCCCAAAAAGCAGCCGGAGGAGCTGCCCAGACCCTCACCCCGCACTATGGGATAGCAGGGCTTGACCCAACACCAGCTCCTGCTGCATCCCCCCGCTTCCAGCTACAGCCGTCCCTTCTCCACCTCCCTCCAGCCCCACGCTGGGCTCCCCCCCCCGCCCCCGGGGTCGCTCCGCCGGGATCAGCCCCATCCGGTTCCTGGCCTCCCGCAGCCCGCGGAGCGCTTCCCGCTCATTCTCCCCGCCAAAAGCTGCCGCTCGTCCCCTCCCCTTCCCGCGGCCGGAGCCCGGAGCCCTCCTCCTCCTTCCCGGCTCGTTCCCGCAGGGAGCAGCGGCTCCTCCGTCCCGTCCAAGCGGCCCATTCCCCACGCAGGGCACGCTGCTCCCGAAGCACGCTTCCACCCCTAAACCCGGACCCCCCGCACCAGCCCCCATCTTCCCCCTCCGCCCAAAGCCCCCAGCGCCGGGGGCTCCCCAAGCACCGCCCGGGCCCCGCTTTACCCCGGGCCCAACCCCTCGGCTCCCGCTCTTTGAGGGGCCCAGCACCCCCAAAACCCCCATTAGCGCTTCCCAAGCCCCCCCCTTTCCACCCCCACCTCAGCGCCCTCACCCCCCCCTCCCGCCCGGTTCCCCCCACAGCGCCCGGTTTTACCACAGCACCCCCCCCTCAGCCCCCCACACCCCCCCCCCGCCCGCGGCCTCCCCGCACCTTGCACAGCCCCGCCAACCGCCGCCGAGGGAAGGGGCTGCAGGCGGCCCCGCTCCGTGTCGCCGCGGGCCTGGCCGCGCTCCGTCCGCCTCCCTCGAACAAAAGAGCCCGGCCAACCCCGGTGCCCGCCGTGCGCACTGCGCCTGCGCCGCGACCCGCGCCCGCCGCGGGGCACCATGGGAAGTGTAGTTCCCCGCCGCGCTGCCTACGCAGGCTGCCGGTGCTGCGGGGCTGGGCCCCGCGCAGGCAGCGCCCGGGCCCCGGGGGGAGCCCTTGGCCCGCTCGAGGCGGCCGGGCCGGGCCGGGCCCCGAGGACGGGCGCTGGGCCCAGGCCCCCCCCTCCCGTTACCAGTCCCCGGGGCCGGGTGTCGGGGCGCTGGGCTGGCTGGGGCCACCCCCCGGTGGGCAGCGGGGCCTGGGTTTGGGGCACCCATCTTAACGGGGAGCCTCTTCCTTCCTAAATGGGGGAACGACGTCAGGAGAGCCGCTCCGGTGCCGGCTGTGGGCAGCTCTGTCCGAGCGTGACGAGCAAAAGCAGCAACAGACGGGGCTCGTTCCCGGTTCTGTGCCGTGGAGCTCTGCGAGGCGTTCCTCTAAATGCAGAGGCTGCCGTGGGGCTGGAAGGCGCCTGGAGCAGAGATGTGCGGGCACAGACGGACGTGACATGGGGCTGGAGTGGGGCCTCTGGGCTGCCACTGGTGTGTGCTGGTTAGGAGAGAGCGTTCCAGGCAGGTCCCGCTGTTCCAGAGGGATGGAGGCTGCTGTTAAGGCCGTGTCTGAGTCAGCAGGAAGATAGCAGATAGCAGGGCAGAGATAAAAGCTGTCACTTTCTCTGTCCGCAGTGCGAGCGCGGGGGACTGCATCCGGAGCCGTGCTGGGCAGGGCCATGGGATGTGCCTCTCCGCCCTCCGGCTCTTCTTCCTGTGAGACCCTGAAAGCCTCAACCTGGGAGCACTGAAACGCAAATGGGAGGAAGATAAAACCGAACCCAGCCACGTATCTCAGGGTCCCTTAGGCCGAGGCTCGAAAGAATCCTTGGAAGAGAATTTGGTGCAACTGGTTAAAGCTGCCTGGGAGCTGCCTCCTGCGCTGGGTGTAAGTTGATTTATGAAGTTAAGATCAATTAACTCCCAATAAGGCATAAATAAGATCACACGTTTCTTGGTGCAACTCTGCATGGAAGCAGATGGGAGCCTTCGGACTCCCTGAGCCCTGCTTT